CGTCGTCTCTTAAGATGTATAAGCACGGAGGAACCTTTGCTTCAGGAAATTTGGCTGCAACGTTCACCTGTACACGAGCAGGATGTCTTATGCCTCACCAACCGAAATCGCAAACAGCGTATGGAGTGTCACATTGAGCCACTTTGCGCTGCGTCTAGCATCGCCCAGCCAGCTGACGCGCCTCACCGGGTATAGATGGCAAATCCAGTAAAAGACAATGCAACCGACCTGGTTTCAACACAGGCTCTTGTGGACGAAATACCTTCACTCAAGCGTGAACTACAACGTTTGAGCCTAAACCAACAGCCGCGTAGGATTAAACAACGTTCGCGTAATCGCGCTCGCAGCTACCTCATGATGCTTCATCTGCCGTTACCACGCAAGGTTCAGTTGCGCCGTTAGAAATTGTGTCGTCTCGCAGTTCTGCGTCGAAAGGGAAAATGCAGACCGAACGACTTAACAGACGTCGTCAGATCCACAGTGTGATAAAGAACAAAGACAACGGTGGATCAGAACAGGCCGATCGACAATTACTAGCGACTGACATCGACACTCAAGATAGCCGATCAAATCTCAGGAATCGTGTTCCTAGTCGACACTGCAGCGGAAGTCAGCGTGATCGCATCACGCCTAAACGAATCGACTAAGCGGCGGACAGCAGATGTAGGTGCTGCCAACGGAACGCTCATAGAACTTTTTGGAGAGCATTCCCTCACTATCCATATAGAACACAAACGTAAACTCCGCTGGATTTTTACAATAGCTGCTGCATCAATTGCTATTCTGGCAGCATCTCGATCTTATCGTTGATGCCCGTCAGAAGAACATGATCGAAAAGCAAACACGTCTTTCCATCTTCGGAGTCGAGACGTCATAAGAAACTGCCACTCCCATGTATCCCCAACTACAACCTGACCAACTCCCTAGAACTGTTCGTACAGCCTATACAGCGGGTTTGACCACGACACACGAACCCGTGGTCCACCAGTCTCCGATCGATCACAACGTCTCGTCCCTCATAGATTAAAGGTGGTGGAGGAATTCGAGCATATACTAGAACTTATTATTAATATTCACCCTTTCGAAAGTCAGTAGGCTTCTCTGCTTTACATGTTACCAAAAAAGCCTGGCGCCAGTGTGGCGATTACCGGGCACTGAACAAGTGCACCTGCTCTGACAAGTACCCTATTCCGCACATTCAGGATCTTACTGGCTATTTAAGCGGTAAGTCCGCATTTAGTAAAATCGGCCTAACCACACTGAAGACATCTAAGCGTATAATTTCGGCTACACAAGGAAGTTACTATGCTGCACAAGTTGTCGTCATCAACCGAAATTTGCCCATACCTCCAACGAAGGAAGCTCAACTTATTGGGGCCATTCACACTGTGTATACCAATTTGTATGTGACTGCGGAAAGTTACATGGGCAGAACTAATAGAACACTGACCTCCCGAATAAAGGAACATGTACCAAGATGCGTTCAACGCGAAGTTGCTCAGATTGCCTACCTTCGTCAGACTCCATGTTCACGCAGACCGCCGGCTTCCTCGATAGTCAAACACCTATTAGACTCGGGTCACCGGATAGAGCTGGGCTCAGCGTTTAAAGTTGTGTTACGTCACACTAATCCCGCTTCCTTCGGTTTGCTGAGGCTGTCGCTATAAGCCGGCCTTGCGCGTTCAGAAACAATTATTTGCCAGTCTAAAGCTGCCTTGGACGTATGTGTGAACTTGCATCATTCGTTCTGCATCTTAAGCTTGTCTGGTTGCACCCACTATTAGCTATACCTATGCATATCGGTTAGTGTTAATGGTACTGAGAAGACAATACGAAATACATGCATCTACCAACCTTCGTCTTCTTTCCGTGCTTTTCGAAATGCTCCGTTCTCTGGGAACAAACGCTTCGGTGGGAGCAGTCTTTCAGCTGTTTGCCAATGGGTCTTGGCAACCATCAGGTTTCTTTTCGGAACGATGGCAACCAGCCGAAACCCGTTATAGCACGTTCAGGAGAACTTTTAGCAGGTTACTTAGCCATCCGCTGCTTACGCGAACATAGACTTCATAGTTTCCATCGATCACAAATCTATAGCCAACGCCATAGGTTCATCCCCCGACAAATGCTCTCCTTGAGTTTCGCAACTTAAACTGCCGCACAGTTCAGGTGAGCAAAACTTTGTCGCAGACGCTTGATCACAGCATCGATCTAGCAACAATGGTCGCTACATGACAGACAGATCCGAGAGTTGATCAAATATGGACGCACGGTTCCTTCTGCCCCCGAACAGTTCCATTACCCACCTATAACGCTTCTTTTGCAAAGCAACTCACATCACGTATGCGCCGTGTCGCACTCAGTAACACCAGTGTTCAGAACCAGAAAACCCATGTACCACAAGAAGTTGTATGCACATGAGCGTACGAGTTGAGGACATTAATCGAGCCTCGGCTCCGCCATATGAAGGACTATTTAGAGTCCCCAAACGGAACGACGAAATATTTGTAATCGATCAGTCGCTAAAATGTTGCCTTAATCGACAGCCACAATGACAATATAAATAAGCCTTCCCTCCGACGAAAATGTCATGGCAGTTCAGTGAAGTCCGCTGGGATTCTTGCAACATTCAGTACACACTGAACAACCAAATAAGACCGACAGATATATTGCCCTCGCCGTTTTGTCCTGATGGTGCATTTCCCGCCTGAATCCTCTATACCATTTTTGAAAACAACGAGAATGGCGAAATGTTTTGGAACCATTAGAAAAATCTCGTACGATTACTTCGGCATAGCACTAATTACTGTCAGGCGATTCTGGTACTACCGTTTTCCGGTTGATTTCCATGTAAGCCTTATCAACTCGGTCTCATGTTCACGATGAAGCCGGACGCTTCAATTTGTGCACCGAACACTTTCTGTCGAACTGCTACCTTCCTAAAACCGTTTTCTTCACTCTTTCGTTCCGATACCGTTAAGGAGAAAACGGGTGAAAGCCCGCTGGGATCCGATCGCCTGCTGCTCCCCCAGCACCTGCATCAGGTTTCACTACCTGGCCTCGCAGAAGGCTGACGTGCGACGGATAATCCACACGTCGATCGAAGGACTGTTTACACAGTTCCTTCTGGGGGACGGCTGTGCAAAAGTCTGGAGATTCCCGCCTCTGAGTATGTTGTGTTGAAGATAAAATTAGCATCTTAGCGAACACATAGGGATTGTTCCTAAAATGTTAAAATGTATGTTAATTTTGTCTGTCTGATCCAACACACACCATCTACATACACACACGGCGCCACAGTTGGATTTAGCACGCCGAGCAAACGCGCGGTCCCTTACATCCATCCCTAGATATCTTCGCGTAATGTGTTGTATTTTTAGCCAATGCACCCTCCTCCCGTTACTTCCGTGACACACCACTTATGGTGAACGGTAATCAACGGGAGTCTGCCGAATACTTCAAGTCTGCCAGTGTTAGTCGGCCATTCTCCCTATATTCGTGACGTCGATTTGAATCAATTTCGACCCTACAGACCGCTCTCTACAATAATTCTACCGGACCGGTCACTTTTGCTGTCACGAATTCACATAGATCCGGCCAACTCAACGGAATAGCTAAATTAAACACCGATGCATGCAACCATGACGCTGGACCAGTCATCTATGCTGGGAAAAATCTTACATCACAAGTTAGTTTCTCAGCGCAACAATGCAACCGAAGCAGGCATTCATACTGGGACACAAAACTTGACAGATTTAGCGAGTGCGATTTAAATTAATTATGCAAAACTGCTCGGAGCAAAAATGACGCACGGACAGTCACGTCTAATGGACCAAATGACTTCAAAGATCTGGCCGCCTTAATTGAGTATTTAAACGCAAGACCACACCGTGCCACAATGCTAAAGGATTTGCTGCGCCACGCGTCTACATAGATCAGGCCAAAACAACGGAATATCTAAATGAAACACCGCTACGTATAACAATGATATCGGACCGGCCATTCCCACCAGGTCAAACACCTTAATAGATCCCGCCATCTCATTTTAGTTTCGCAATGCTACCGGGGACACACTAAGTTTACCAAGGCAGATTTCCTGAAAAACCGCGCCACCCCAACTGAATAGCTAAATGAAAAATTGCACCACGCAACAATGCTACTGAGTCAAAATCCTCAATGGACCCGGCAACCTTAACATACCTTCGCAATGCAAGATGCAACAACGAGTCCGCACCAATCACTTTTGCTGTGCCATGCGTTCAAGTAGATGCGGCCGACTCAGTAGAATATCGCTCCGTGCAACTATGACACCGGAGCACGCACCTTTGCTGAACCAAAATTCCTACCGCATCCCCATAGTACAACTTGGTAATTGTCAGCACAACAATGCAAATGTACCAGTCACCCATACTGGGCCAAAAAACTTAATAGAACTGGCCACTGGTAAAAAGCACGCCAACGGAATCCTGCTCAATGCGACAATCGTACCTTACCAACCACGTTTACTCTACAAGTAATCTCAGATCCGGCTGCAACTAAAGGAAAGACAGTGCAACAGTGGTATCGGATCAGTCACATGTGTCGAGTCACAGGTCCCCAAAGATCTGGCCATATCAAGTTAGTTTCTCAATGCAAGCAACAATGCTGCCGGACAACGTATCGTTGTCTTTATTACACGGTAACAAAAAGTGAGTAATACACTTCAGCTATGGTGCCGCAGTATAAAAAGATCCGATGCATAAAAACGAAATACTAAATAGTACACAATGCAAAATAAACTAAAAAAACAAGAAACATAATGCAAAGCTGGAAGTGTGAGTGTTTTTGGAGGGGGAGTGTAAGCGGGAGAGGGACAAAACTCAAAACACAAGAACCATTTGTCTTTGTCCTTGGGACCCAAATCCGGCAGTCGGTGGGCACCAACCGAACATTTCATCGACATCCGAACTACCTCCTCGTGGAGTGGGCTGGGCGGCCCGGGAAGTTTTCATTCGGCGAATGGTTCAGCAGTAGTCTGCCAGGACATGGTGAGTTTCCGCTTGGCAATAATCATCCTACAAAAAGCAGAAATGTCAGTTTAACAACATTGAGACGTGACGGATATGGTTCACCACTAAATAAACTCACTGCATTTTGCATGCCTCAGGGGAATTGCACACCATCATCATCATCATCTTCATACACGTAAGCCAGAGGTGGGGAACACAGCAACTGTGAGGCAATACACAAAAAAGAAGAAAAAAAGCAACTGGTGCAAGCCGGCTGAGCTAACGGTAACAGATGGGCATAGTTCCGGGAAGCTACCTGCCGCCTAATGTGCATCAAAAAAATTACTAAGCAAAATTATATAAGGCTAAATAATGAGATCTTAGTATGAGGGGGAGACTACGAGGGATGGGGTGGGACGAAGGAACTCACAGCAGGAACGCCACTGAGGTCAGCTCCTAGCCATATCAGCAAGTGTGTCCAACCAAACGTGTTCATCGTTTTTTGGACCCCAACCAGGGAGCCGAGACGCTCCAACTGAGGCCAGCTCCGAATTAAGAGCCTTCATTCCTCTCGACCAAGTCGTCGCTTGGCCACCCTAACTCATCTCCCATCTACACCCCTTGGGCGCGCGAAAAACGCACGTTGCGGGAGTCGGTGGGCTGGTATGCGTAACACGCGGCCGAGCCATCGGAGCCTGGTGCGTGAAATAACCGTGCTGAGCGGTTCATTTCCTTTTCCTGTGCCGTAAACAAGGCGTCGAACACGCTCGTTGCTCACGCGGTGTTCCCACCAGATGTGAGCTAAATTGTGAAAGCACCGGTGGTCGAACGTAACTAGCCTCTTTACGTCTGCTGATCTAAGGGGCCAGGTTTCACAACCGTACAGTAGGGTCGAACGTACCGCTGCATTGTACATTCTACCCTTCAGGGCAAGAGTGATGTCGCGCAGGCGCCATAAGTGACAAAGGTTGGCAAAAGCGCGCCGAGCTTTTGCTATACGGTTCGTGACCTCATCTTCAATCCCACGGACGCTGACACAACTTCCCAGGAAGTTGAATTTCTGAACGACTTCTAGCTGATCCCCACCAAGGGTCAGCGAAGGAGGCGGTCCAGACCAATATTGGAGGAACGCTTTGCATTTCCATGGTGCAAAGCAAAGTCCGAAGTGACGGACAGCTAGTGCTAATCTGTCCAGTGCCGCTTGGCACGTTTGTGAGCTGTCACAGATTAGGGCAATATCATCAGCATACTCTAAGTCAAGAAGTCATTCTCCTGGGAGCAGATCCACACCTTCTAAGTCGTGTCCTGTAAAAGCGATTTTCATGACTTCGTCAACAGCGAAGTTAAAGAGGAAAGGTGACAGCGGGCATCCTTGTCTCACGCCGCTGGAGATATTAAAGGGCGACGACAACTTGCCGTAAGCCCTCACTCTGCCCGAGCTACGCGCATATAATGCTCGGATAATATTCACATATTTCTCAGGTACATCTTTCCTGAGTAGACAGTCCCAAAGTGCATGCCTATCCACCGAGTCGAATGCATCTTTGATATCGAGGAACACGACAAGGGTGGGCCGCCAATAAATGTGAGGGTGCTCCAACAACTGACGCAAGGTGAAGATGTGGTCAATGCAGCCACGACCTCGACGAAATCCGGCTTGCTCTTCACGAATCTGGCTTTCACGAGTGCCAGTCAGTCGGTGAAGGATGACAGAGGCAAGCAATTTGGAGGCGATAGAGATCAGACTGATTCCTCTATGGCTGCCGCATTCCGATCGTGAGCCTCCTTTGAAAATTGGGACTATGACGGAGCAGCTCCAATCGGTTGGGACAGTTTCCTGCTCCCACAGTTTGACTAGTTACTCTTGTAAATTATCCACAAGAGCAGGTCCCCCGAATTTGAAGAGGGCTGGAGGAAGGTCATCAGGTCCCGCGGCCTTGTTTAACTTCAACAGTCCGATCTCATGTTCGACTTCTGAGCGAGATGGTGGATCCAAAGGGACAGCCCACGGAGCGGGGCGATCAGTGGGCGGCGAGAAATCTAACCATTTCGACGGATTAATTTGTTTTTCAAAGTGCTCAGCCCAACGCTCCAGGCGTTTTGATAAGTTGTGGATAGGCTGTCCACTCTCGTCACGTATAGTTTCACTAATACCAGGTCTCCTGCTGCCCGTTTTCCGTATCAGACGGAATAACTTACGATGGTTACCAAGGGCAGCGGCCATTTCCATCTCTGATGCACGATGAGACCACCAAGACTCGCGATCTCTCTTCAGGTTAGCACGAAGTTTTGCCCGGAGCACCTTGCGAGTTTCATTGTGTTCGCTTCCAGCCGGAATATGCCGGCGAGCATCTATAAGTTCCAGAGATTGTGAAGAGACCCAATGTCCGTGTTGGCGATTAGACATATCATATGAGGATTTTCCTGCTGCTAATAGCGTCTGGAGAATATGAGACCAGTGAGCTTCAATTGCATCCAGTGAGCGGTTATCCAACTCCCATGACAGCGCACTTTGATACGCATTCAGAACAGCTGGCTTCGCCAGTCTGCCGGTGTCAATGCGCTCACAGCGTCGTCGTGGGGGTCCGCCAAAGCGCATCCGCAGGTCAGCACACACAAGTGCATGGTCGGTGTCCACACCTGTGCTCTAAATCGAGCGACAGTTCTGGACGCAGCCTCTCCAGCGGTAACTGATAGCAATGTGATCGATTTGCGTCCATAGCTGGTTCGAGGCTGGTGGGCGCCAAGTCAACCTCCGGCGGGTGCTGTGTCTGAAATTATTGCTCGCAAGAAATAAGCGAGCATCCTCACACAAATGAAGTAACCGTTCACCGTTATCATTACGGGAGCCTATACCGTGTTGGCCGCCCAGATGCAGCTCATCTGTGGATAATTTTCCAACTTGAGCGTTCAGATCCCCGGCCAGCACTACAGTGTCCGAGCTTTTTCTGTGGCTAAGGAACTCGTTCAGTTGACGATAGAAGTCGTCTTTTACCGAGTCATCGCTACAGTTTGTCGGTGCATAGGCAGCGATAACGAATAGACACCTGTTAGTCCCACGCGACTTCGAAGTTTTGAACGAGCCAGCCAATCGGACCGCACACATCCGGCTAATGATTGGAATCCAATCAACCAGAGCAGCTTCAGCCAGGGGGCTCAGGGCAATACCAACACCGGCTTGGCCGGTGCTCGAAGCTGCATCGTCACCGGATAGGCGGATACTGCTTGCGTCACCTGAAGGAGATCGCAGAGTGAGCATAGAGCTTGTCATGCAGGCGGGTCTCCGATAAGCAGCAGATATCGATCGAGAGGGTCTCCAATGATTGGGCAAGTGCTGCCTGTTGACCGATCTGAAGCAATGTGCGAACATTGAGGCATGCCAATCTGAAGGAGGATCGAGGGCTCCAAATGGAAGCCGATGAACTGGAATGGGCCGCTTGCTTGGACATGGGCCTGTTGACGTGCAGGAATGACGCTCCGCGTTCATCTGTGAGTTGAAACTAAAAGACAAGCGACTATTAAAGCAAGGTGGGGGAGTGCCGAAAATTGGGGGGTCGAAAACAGGGGGGGTATAAGTAAAGTTGGAACGGGGCGATAATGGTGAAAAAGCGCGAGAAGGGGAATAAGAAGACGGGGAGGCTTGAGCAGTAGCATCCAAACCCCTATCCACCCTGCCCGATGCAGCAGACAGGGCACCGTTGATTATCCTCTGCGGTGGCCAGAGCATCAAGAAATTGTTTGAGGAAAGATTCATTGTATTGCGTGGGCAGGATACTGTCAGGTTGCCCAGGCCTAGACAGGAGAACGATTAGGGTTCTCAACCAAATCCTTTGGTTAAAAACCTGACCGCAAGGCAGCGGGTTTGGCGTTCGGCTACAAGGAGTCCGTGTTAAGGAATAAGGTGCCACCCTCATTCTAACCCCCAACGTGGAGGACCAGGAGGCTGAGTTTGTCTGGCCTCTAATCATTGACCAATCTGGTATGAGTGGCTCTGAAGGTGCTAAAGCACCACCCAGTATAGCTCAATGGATCACTGAGGCACACAAACCATCGCACCACGGTAAGGTCCAACCTCATTGCGATGGATTTATATATATATATATATATATATATATATATATATATATATATATATATATATATATATATATATATATATATATATATACCAGGACATGATCAAAGTGAGCCTCTCACGTTCTAATCTTGCTTGCAGATCATGGGAATCGAAGACGGTTGATCGGCGTGCATGGCGAAATCTAATCATGGAGGCAGTTGCCGAAGTGCGGGAGAATGACCTCATACATGCAGAGAAGTAGCGGCAAGCACCGATGGGTTGTACTCCATCGACATCAAGCGCATGGTGCTGTAGCACATGCGGTCGCGAGTGCCTCAGTCAGACAGGCTTAGTGAACCATGAGCGAGGCCACTCGGGACCACTACCGAAGCGACGGGTCCTGCAGAGAAGGCAGACAGAACCGGCGCAGCGTTTGGAGGTACGCTGCATTCGATTTACTAACCGCGTCTTGTATGATAAGTCTCTTTATTTCAGGTGGTGGGTTTTCAATATCGTCCTAATGCTTTTCTTTCTTATCTAAATGTCTACCTGTACTCTCCTCTATAAACTTAGACACGTCGATTAAGCCAATTGTAGTTAATTTTGATAACATTTTCGTGTCTGGCATTTCCGGAAAATACACTTTCTGACCTCGTGAACTTATCTCGGATCCATTGTAAACAACTTATTTCATATGCCCATCAATTTAAAATTGTTGTCACGTTTCCTTATGAATTACTTATTTTATTTTATGTTATCTTTCTCTCAAGTGATTGGATGTTGCTTAATATCCCCGGTGTGGCTGCGCTTGATGTGCATGTTGACAAGGTGCCTACCTGTCTATTACCAAATACCTCGTCCATACTGGCTCCAAGAGACAGTTGGCCGTTGCTGGAGGGGACGGGGTGCACGGTCCTTGTGGCCGTGCTAGGCTCGAAGAGTGGTTTCATGCAGTCAGTGTGGAGCGGACTACGGTCCAGCCACCGCCTTGTGTGCGCTTGATTCCCCA